CCTGAGGGTCCCATCAGTGACCCCCTGAGGTCTGTGGTGAGCATCTCCATCCCCTCCCCACCCGGGAAGCCCTAAGTCAGGTGCTCACAGGATTGTGGTCCTAGAGTCTGACTGCTCCAGAGGCCAGGTGTCCAGGGTGAGGCCACACCCGATGACAGTCACACTAACCTCACTCCCATCCAACCACTTCACAGTGGCCCCAGGGACTAAACCACCTGCCCCAAGTGCACAGCTGAAACATGGTGGAAGAGACCGACCTTTTGTAATTCAGGATAGTCTCTGGGGATTATTTGTGATCACAAGGGGGGACAGCTGTTAAGAAAAAAATATATATCCAGAATTTGGAAATTGGGAAAAAAAAGTGACTGCACATTCTTTCACTTGCATCCCACAGCATCGTCTAATAGGCTCACTCAAGAATGCTCTGACTCTGGGGGAGCAGGTACCTTTGTTTTGATTCATTATTCATTATTGATTAGGGGATTTCACACTCTGTAAAGACACACGTTAGCTTGGGAAAAAAGTGATAGAGATGTAAACGATTTTTGTCTGATTACAAGGGAAATTAATTTTTCCCTGGAGAGATACAAATGACTTCTGTCCAGTAGAAAAGATTAAAAACCCAAAAAGTGATAGTTTTATTGGTCTATAGGGCATTAACCAGTTTGTCTTTCTCTTATATTTCTTTGAATCAACTTTACCATCATGCTTATTCTCAATGAGTTAAAACAAAAAACCCAGGACTCCTACCCAGGGCTCACGCGCGCGCGCGCGCGCGCGTGTGTGTTGCTTCCCCCACCCAGGGCGTGGTTAGCCCTACAGTGCTGCCCAAGCTGCCCATGTTCAAGCCCTGGGTGGTGGCCGGCCAGCCCCCAGTCACTGCCTGTGCCGGGGGCTGGACAAGCACGTGATGGGCCTGCTGAGGAAAGTCCAGCTCTGCCTGAGGCTGGGTTGGGTCCCCTTTGGCAGGAGGCCTTGGGACTCTGATTTTCTAACTCCTCTCACCCGGGCAGATGTCGGGAGAGAAGAGACCCTCAGCTGACCCAGGGAAAAAGGCCAAGAACCCAAAGAAGAAGAAGAAGAAGGACCCCAACGAGCCACAGAAGCCCGTGTCAGCCTACGCGCTCTTCTTCAGAGACACTCAGGCTGCCATCAAGGGACAGAACCCCAGCGCCACCTTTGGGGATGTGTCCAAAATCGTGGCCTCCATGTGGGACAGCTTGGGAGAGGAGCAGAAACAGGTGAGTCTCTGTCCCTTTCTGGGCCATCCCACAAGGCTCTGAGGCCCTGGAGCCAATGACAGACTTGGAAGTTCTGAAACCTGGTCCAGCCTCTGGAACTAGCCTCTTGCCGAGGTCTTTACTGGGCTCAGTTTGCCCCTCTGTAAGCTGAGAAGTTAGCTTACTTCCAATTCTGCTGTTTTCCAACTGCGGTCACTAGTGACCTAACCATCCTGGACCTCTGCTTCCTCATCTGTAAAATGAGAACAGGCATCTCCCTCCATCTTGTCCCTCCAACTCTGACAGTCTGAGGTCCAGGCCAGAGCTTTCCTGTCCCACTGCCCAAATGCCTCTGGCCCTCTCTCCAGGGCCTCCAGGGGGAGGAGGGACCAGAACCAGCTCATTGGAAAATGCCAGTTACCTGCTGTGTGACCTCAGGCTGATCACCCAACCTCTCCCAACGTTGCCCTGTCTTGGATCTTTCAGGCCTACAAGAGGAAGACCGAGGCAGCAAAGAAGGAATATCTGAAGGCTCTGGCAGCCTACAGGGCCAGCCTTGTCTCCAAGGTAAGACCTGGAATCCCTAGACACAGCCCTGATAAGAGTGGGGCCCCTGGGGGGATGGAGCAAGAACTGAGGCCCACAGTCAACTGAGGCCCGCTTAAGTCAACACCATAGGTCTTGGAAGGGATGGGTAAGACCACTGTGGTCACTTCTCAGTGCACCTACTGTGTCCCAGGCTCATGCGGGGTGCTTGACATGCATGTCATTTCATTTAACTCTCCCAACAAGAACCTGACACTCAGAGGGGTTAAGCCACCTGCCTGAAATTATCCAGCTTGTTAGGTGGCTGTGCTGGGATTCATACCCATTCTTGCCGGTCTGCAAATCTGGCCTTTACTGCTGACCACACTCTCTGCTTCCTCTGTCAGCACCGCAGCGGGGCTCAGTATGGTGGTGGATTGTGGCCCAAGGGGGCAGGGGTGTTGTCTGGAAGCTGTTACAGAGGACATGGCTTCTGGGTTAGGCCATAAAGGGCCAAGCAAAGAGGGCATTCCACGTCGAGGGAACAGCACACGCAAAGGCATAGAGGCTGGGGGGAGCATAAATAGAGGATGGCCCTGCTGGATCATTCTGGCCTCACCGGCCAGGCTGAGGAGCATGGGTCCCCCACGGGCAGGGGAGCCCCCAGGGATTAAAGCAGGGGGTGGTGGGATGGTCAGAGCCAAGTGTACTAAGGACCCTGCGTTATCTCTGGGTAGTCCACAGCTCTCCCCCAAGGGGCCAGAGAGCCAGCCAAGGGCCATGTCAGCGGGTTGCAGAACCACCTGGCCCATGGCCCACGCTCTGGCTTATCCATCTTCTCTGGAGTGACTGGTGCCTGTCTCCCTCCAGAGCTCCCCGGACGCGGGTGAGACCAAGAGCACACAGGCGAACCCGCCAGCCAAGATGCTCCCACCGAAGCAGCCCGTGTACGCCATGCCAGGCCTGGCCTCCTTCCTGACGCCAGCGGACCTGCAGGCCTTCCGCAGCGGGGCCTCTCCCGCCAGCCTCGCCCGGACGCTGGGCTCCAAGTCGCTGCTGTCAGGCCTCAGCGCGTCCCCGCCTCCGCCACCCTCCTTCCCGCTCAGCCCACCACTCCACCAGCAGCTGCCACTGCCCCCCCACGCCCAGGGCGCCCTCCTCAGTCCACCTGTTAGCATGTCCCCAGCCCCCCAGCCTCCCGTCCTGCCCACTCCCATGGCGCTCCAGGTGCAGCTGGCTATGAGCCCCTCACCTCCCGGGCCACAGGTAAGGAGGGCCCGGTAGGAACTGCCCTTCTGGGACCCCCTGTGGAGAGGGGAGGCAGCTTGGGATTTCAAATACTGGCCCTGCCACTCACCCGCTGTGTAGCCTCAGCCTAGGCACCTTACCTCTCTGAGCCTCAGTTACCACCTCTATGCAGTGGGTCTAGTACACCTCACCTGAGATGGACTGGCTGCAGGGAACAGTTGACAAGTTGCCAGACAGATTCTTCACATTCTTAAGGCCCTCCTCTCCTCCTCGCTCATTTCTGCTCTCTGGCCCGAGGCGCTGGGGCCACTGCGGCTTCTGCCAGATCAGCCCCATAGCCCCTGTCTCAACAGTTATGCACTGTTATAACGTGCACTGTTACAAGACTTGCACGGCCCTGGGAGGTCATTCAGCCCACTAACTCCATTTTACAGATTGGGAAACTGAGGCCCAGACAAGGAAAGGCCCTGAAAGCAAAGTCCTTCACCCCCTGACGCGGCTAAGGGCTGAATTTTTCAAAGGGTGCTCTAGTGGGGAAAGGAAGACGCGTCCGGGCAGAGGCAGAGTGGAGATTTTGTGCCAGCGGAGGAAGCCTCTCAGCCCCTCAGGCACACACAGTTCCTGTGCTCTCGCCTTTGCTCACGGCCTCCTCCTCCCCCGGCAGGACTTCCCTCACATCTCCGAGTTCCCCAGCGGCTCCGCATCCCGCTCACCTGGCCCGTCCAACCCCACGAGCAGCGCAGACTGGGACAGCAGTTACCCCGGCGCGGAGTGTGGCATCAGCACTTGCAGGTCAGCCCTGGCCCCGCCACCGCTGGGCGGCCCTGGTCCTGCCCGTGCTGGAGAGCAGGAGCCATGACAAGGGGTGGGGAAGGGCAGGGGGTGTGGAACAGCGCCAGGTCGCCGCCAGCCCCGCGGGAGCGCCTTGTGGGCTCCTCAGGAGAGGACGCAGAGCAAGGCCAGGCCCCGGAAGGCCTCAGCGGGTCTGTGCAAGGCCTGCCTTCCGACCTGCTTTTCCTCCTTCCATCCTGTGACGTTCACAGAATGTCGTCTATCTTTGGTCAAGTCCCTAGAAGCGGAGCCTGAGCATCACTGGGTCCCCTGTGACGTGTTGAGGGATAGCTGGCAGGAGAAGGGGAGCAGGACAGGGCAGGGGAAGGAGCTGAGGGAGGGTGGGGCCTCAGCTGGAGACTCGCTTCAGCCTGATCCCACCGGGAGCTCTGGGCAGGCATCCCCTATAGGCTTGGTCCCACCCGGAGCTTAGGGCTTTTGTACCCCATGTCAGTCAGCCACTGGCTGTGGGCTGCCCGGGGAGTGTAGCCGCTGGTAAGGCAGGTCCCATCCAGCCAAGGGCAGCTCTGTGGAGCAGAGGGCAGCTTCGAGGGCAGGAAGGGATCTGGGTGAGGCACCAGCAGTGTTCACCACGGCCTAGAAGGGGCCAACTATGGAACACAAGGGATCACCAACCTTACTGGTACCCCCACCAGCCCTGCAGCCCAACATCCCCTCCAACACGCAGACTCCACTTGGCTCCTCCCTGGTCCTCATCCTCAGGGCATCCCCCCCACTCCTGCACTCAGCCTTTCAAACCCACGCTAACTGCCCCTCCTCTAGAAAGTCTTCCTGGATCCGTGCGACACCTCTTCCGAGAGAGTGACCTCTCATTTCACCCAGCAGAACAGCAAACAGAAGGGAGAGGCCACGCTTGCTCCTTAACCCGCCAACCCCGGCTCCCGTTCCCCTGGCAAGAACTAATGCCCCCGCCACACTTGGGAAACGTGGTGTTGGGCTGCTGTCCCAGCAACAGCCCACCCCGTGGAAGGCGGGACACTAACGTTTGGTGGGCAGGTGGCCATCTCTGCCGTGGGCCCGGCTGCCCCAGCCCTAGCTGTGGGCCTTCCTGCTCCTCCCTGTGCCAAGCCCACCAGTGGGTGAGCACACGTGGCACGTGCCCCCACCTCTGATGTGCCGACAGGAGAGTCCACCGGGTGGGCAGGCTCAGCTCAGCTCAGCAGGAATTCGCTCCCTACCCTGAGCAGGGGCAGCCCCTCCCACCCTCCCCCTCACGGCAGTTTCCCTTCCCAAAGTCAGAGTCTGGAGGTGGGGGGCTCTTTAATGGACATCACAGAATGGCAGAGCTTCCCCCAACATAGAGGTCAGACCACAGCAGTGCCCTATTTCATTTATTTATTTTAATTGATACAATCGACATATAACCTTATATTAGTTTCAGATATACAGCATAATGATTTGCTACTTTTATATGTTGCAAAATGATCACCACAAGTCTGGTTATCATCCATCATCACATGTAGTTTTAACTTTTTTTCTTGTGATGAGAACTTTTAAGATCTGCTCTCTTAGTGACTTTCAAATATGCAATGCAGTATTGTTAACTATAGTCACCATGCTGTACATTACATCCCCAGGACTTATTTATTTTATAACTGGAAGTTTGTACCTTTTGACCCCTTCACCCATTTCATCCAGCCCCCGCCTCTGACAACCAGCAATCTGTTCTCTGTATCTGTGAAGCTTGGGGTTTTTTAATTATTATTATTCCACATATAAGTGAGAACATAGGGTATCTGTCTTTCTCTCCCTGACTTATTTCACTCAGCATAATGTCCTTGAGGTCCATCCACGTTGTTGCAAATGAGTGGCCTATTGTAAAAACATATAAAGTACCTGCCCTTCTTTAATTCGTTTTGAAATTTACAAATGAAACACTGTGACTGAAAACTGACCTGAGAGGGATGGTGGTGTTGGAACTGGCCTGGATGAAGGACAGACACCCTGCTGCTGCCTTCCCCCAGTGCTAAGGACTGGGTGGTCCCCTGCCAGGATCCCAGGAGGGGTGTTGTTTCTGCCTGGTGGACAGTCAGGGAGGGACCAGGGCATGCCCCTCATTCATCCTCAGGTGGCAGCTGAATCTGGGGTCGGGGTGAAGGGCTAGTGAGCGCATGTCCTGGTTCCGCACGGGGCCCGGTGTCCAGGCCCCTGAGGGCCCGGCACCTGGGTGGGGTCACATCAGCTCTGACAGCCCCTCCTCTCTCCCACAGCCTGCTCCCCAGGGATAAATCGCTCTACCTCACCTAATCCCGCCTCCCCCTCCTCCCTGAGGCTGCTGGAAGGGCACTGCTCAGAGCCTGAGGGGCCGACAGCAGAGAAAGGCCTTGGCAGGAAGCAGGGTGATGGAGAAGAGAGAGAGCAGTGACAGCCAATGTCCCAGGGCTGAGTCTCTTCCTCGACCTCCCACCAGACTGCAGAGGCAGCCACCGCCCGCCGCCAGCCCAAAGAACCTGCAGGAACCTTCCGCCCCCGACCTGCTTGCTCCAGGGTCACCGTGGCCCCCGCTTCTCGCCCTGCACACCACACCCTATGTCTGGACGTCTGGCCCTGGCCCACGCTCATGTGGGCTGCCCCTGGCGGGGTCGCTTACCAACAGAAGCCCACCCCCAGATGCATGGGGCAGGGGCCAGCCCAGCCACAGACGTGCAAATCCGGTTTTACAGTGTGAACAAAAGATTCTGAACCCTATGAACTGTTGGTTCCGTGTAAGTAGTTGACTAAGTGTTTAGAACTGTGCTGAAGACATCTGTAAGATTATTTTGTGGGGGGAGAAAAGTAGTTTCCTTTAAGGTAAAAAGCATTTTATATGACCCTTAGCACGTGTTTTTTAAGTTTTATCTTCAGGGAGATGTGCACAGAGGCGGCTGCCACCCTGTTTCACCGTCTATACAGCAAGAACCAGAAAATTTATAGCCACACTCGGAGGCATTGCGTTTTTTTTTTAAACCATCTATTTAAAATGGCCAACAATGACTTTTGTCTATTTATGAAGAAAAATTGAGAACAGAAATGCGGTTTATCCTAAAGCGTGCGTGGTGTGGGGTTTGGTTTGGGTTTTGGTTCTTGGTGTTGTTTGCCGCTGTTTCTTGGCCCTGGCGAATGTCTGTCTCGGTGCCCAGTGCTTCTCTCAAACTTCTTTGTAATAAAACTTCTGAAAAGTTGAAGACAAGTCTGTTTCCTCTTGCACTTGGTCAGCCAGGGCCAGGCCTTTGGAAGTGACATTTGGTGGTGGCTTTGCCAGGACAGAGCCCCTGGCGTCAGGCAGATTGAGATAAAAGTCATACCTGCCGTTTGGGTATGGGTGGGTGACGGGGCCCCCTGGCCTCCGCCTTGCCGTCTGTAGAAGTAGGGTAGGAATGGGTTGAGCATGTAGGGTTCTTGTGATGATTGAAAGGGGTTCTGGCCACACAGGGAGCACTCATCAGCAGGTGACCAGGGTGAGCCCTCCCCACCACTCCCACCGATGGGGCCTCTGTCCTCAGTCTGGTGGAGGTGAGGGTGGGTTCAGGGCTGCCGGAGCCCAAGGGCCAGGGGGACTTCTCCAAACCTGAGCATAGGAAGCACCCCAGACAAGGGACTGTAAACCAGGTTTCCTGACAGATGTTAGGTGCTGATACTTAAAAAAAATAATAATAATTATGTGACTATTTTAACTGTTTCTGGAAAAACAACAATTGCCAGGTGTGGAGGAGCTTTTGGGGGGCTGCAGCTTTGGGCCGTCCATGGGGAGGCTCCTCTGTGTGTCACCTAGATGATGGCCCTGGGAGTGGGGTGCCATTTCTCTCTGAGCAGTTTCCTCAGTGGAGGGCATTTTGTAATCCACTTTGGAAAAAGAAAAAAGAAAACCAACCAACAAAAACAACCCACTGTCATGTCTGCAGCATCCTTGCAATGCGAAGCATAAATATTTCATGTGGCTACAATTTCCTCTCCTGGGGGGAGCTTGTCAGTAACACGGTGATGACTTAGTTTAATATTCGACTCTTACTTCTACATTTGAGAAAACAGCATCATTGGAATCCACGCAGACAGCCCAAAATAACAAGAGTGCAAGGCTATTGGGTTCTTGCCTCTGAGGCGGACACTCCCATCTGTCCCCTCATTGCTGTGCCTAGAGCTCAGGAGTCCTTTGGAAGTGCCCACATGCCAAGGCTGGCCTCTCAGTTGCAAAGGATGCTCAGAGATGTCCAAGCAGTCTAGATACCCTGCCTCCAGATATCAGGGATTGTCAAGTGGGTGCGTCCTGTGGTCCCAGAGAGTGGGAACAGAGCCAATGGTCAATGGAAGGTACTAGAAGGCGGATTTCAGGGCCATGGAGTGGACGCCAACTATAGTGGATGCTGTTGGTGCCCCACCCAGCTCCCTTTATTGGCCAGTGCCCATCCCCCAGCTCCTGAGTGTCGGCTGCTCACAAAGCTGCCCTGTTTGTCTCAGTCATTGCCCTTGACCGGGAGGTGATGCCCCTTCTCCCCAGAGCTGCCCTCAGCTAATGACCAAATAATGGAGCAGCCAACTCTTGGACCACACTCCACAGCTCCCATGGGACCAGGCTGCAGCAGGTCTCCAGCTGCAAAAGCATCCTCGCTTAGCTCCTTCCCCACCTGCCCTGATCACCTCCCTCCCCTTCTGAGCTCACCCACCCAATAAATCACTTGAACCAGAATTCCCGTCTCAGCCCCTGTCTATTTCTAGGGAAACAGACCTATGATACTAGCTGAGCGCAGTGGAGCCACGTCCGTAACGTTCCATATTCTTTCACTGGCTCTGGCCCTACCTGCAAATGCAAGACTTTCAGCCCCTGAAACCAACCCAAGCCTCGCCCAAGGGGGATGGAGGTTCCCGTGTGTTCACAAAGAGGTTCTCTCCCCTGGGAAGTAGTGTCTGCTGCCTTCGTCCTACTCCATCCTGCAGAGGTGACGGCCACAGTCCATGGCTCCACCGAGAGCCCAAGGCTACAACCACTGTAAAAGCACGGAGGCCTCTGCCACAGATACCCCCCCATGCCCCTGTGCACCCAAAGCTGCACCCTGGGTTCCACAGCCTCGGAATGGACCAGGTACCGCTGTGGCCATGGCACCCTCAATCTGCCAAGGCCAGGCTGTGGTCTGGACCCGCCACACCTCGAGACCACTTGTTACTACCTGGACTCTAGAGCAGTGCCCTTGACATTGTGAGGACCCCCAGCTCCTGCCTGCAGCCCTCCCCACTGTCCGTGGAGCTGGCCCAGGGACCAAAGCCACTTGCCCTTCCAGAAGCCAAGTGCCTGCTTCAGATTCCTCCACTCACACCTCCCCCCACAAACACAGGAGTCCTGGCAGGAGGCACAGCCTGGGCAAAGGCCCAGCCCCCACCCCAGAAGGAAGGCATGGCTGGTCCTAAGAGCGCCCAGCTGTAATCCCTCCCAGGAGGGCGCCATATGAATTTCCACATTAGACTGGAATGCGGGCAGCGTGGCACGGAGGGGACTTCCAATGAATCTTCAGAGTCCTTGATGCTAAAATTCAATTTGCTGATTAAGCAAGAATACAAACAAGTAAGCAGTCTTTCTCTGCCAGGCCCTCGCTGGGCACCGTGAATGCCGAGTGGAATCAGACACAGATTCCAGCCTCTAGGAGCTTAAGGTCTCGTTGCGGGGGCACAGAAGGAAAACAATAATATTTAAAATTATATAGTTATAATTTTATATTATAAGTCATAAAAATATAAAAAATACTATGTGACCAGTGCAAAAACGGGGAGCCAGGAGAATGCAGAAGAGGCGCCCCCACTCCAGCTAGGGTCTGCGGAGGCCTCCTGGGTGACATCCAGGCGGTGCCCTGCCCAGTGACCAGGACTGAGCTGGAGGACTGTCATGGTTCTAGAGTGCTGTGCTTTGCTAGTCCCAGACGCCCAGAGGCTGTGGCTCTGGGATTGTAGTGTCATCGAGAAGTTTGGAGAATTCTCTCTGGAAGAAGAGGCTGAGTCCACATAGCTGCGTGGGGATCTCTGAGTCGGGTGCAGGGGCAGCTATCCTCAGGTTGAAGGGGAACCTCAGGCACCGTGCTTGTTCCTGAACCTTGACCTCTGCCTCCACCTCCTGGGGTCGGGCCAGCCCTGACTCCCAGCGTAGTGGGGGTGGTGGAGAGTGGTGTGTGTGGGGTGTGTGTGTGGAAGTGGTGGGAGAGTAAGTGATGTGGCTGTGTGTGTTGGGTGCGTAGGGTGGATGAGGTGTGCGTGTGTGGTGTGTGTGTGTGTCTGTATGCAGTGTGCATGCATGCATATTTGGCTGTGCATATGTGTGGTGGTGTGCATCTCTATGTCTGGTATGCATATCTGTGCATGGTGTGCGTGCACATGGAGAAGGCAAGAGAAATGTGACTATGTATGTGGTGTGCGTGTGTGTAGCTGGTGTGCATGTGGGAGAGTACACACATGTGCACTGCACCCAAAACACATACAGATGCGTGCACACACATACCACACACACTCACACACATCAAACCCACACGTGGGCACATTCCATACACCCACACCACACAAAAACACACATATTCACATCACGCACATCATAGCACATGGGCATGCCCACTATACACATCACACACAACATGCACACAATGCCCACGCACACGTGTATTCCATGCATGCACATATCATGCAATGACACACCACACACATGTAAACACATGCATGCATACATATCACACACACCGCATTCATACACACCAGCAGCTACCACATGCACACAAACATCCCCCATACACTCACCCCCTAGACACACAAGTGCATCCTGGGCTCACGTGCCCATCGCATGCACACACACACGCACACACACACACACAAACCACCCAACTGTGCATACTCCTGCACAGCACATGCATATACACGCATTGGTTAGTGTGGGAATTATCTGTTCTTGAAAGTTTGAAAGAACTCACGTGCAAAAAAATCTGACCTGCTATTAGAGATTCAGGGGTTTTGAAAAAATTGCCCAACACATCAGTTATGACTCAGCTCTGCTCCCCTAATTACCCAAAACTAATAACCCCAAACCTACCGGATGCTGAGGGCAATCGTTCAGAGAGAAGCAGTCCGGCGTGTGGTGAGGAGGGGCCGAGGGCACAGCCTGCCTGGGAGAAAGAATATCCACTCTGCGGCCTCCAGGTCGTACGACCTCCGGCAAGTTCCTTCCCTTCTCCGTTTCCTCGGATGTGACTTGGGGATAATAACAGTCTCCTCTTCAAAGGGTTGTTGTGAGTAACAGTGAGTTAATACATGTAAAGTTCTTAGAACAGTAGTTATTATTATCGTTGTTGTTGTTGTTTAATCTCACCGCAGAAGGTCAAATCTCGTGTATTATGCACTAGTCAGGATGGCGTGGCTCCGCTGTGGTAACATCTCCTGACATCTCAGTGGCTTCACACATCACAGTTCATTTCTGGCTCATTCTGGTCACGGCTGCTCGTGTGTGCTCCTCCTCCAAGCCTCCAAGCACACGCGGGGATCACGGCCTCTTCTCTCTGGTGGCTCTGCTGCCCGCATGGGCCTCGGAGGACTCTCCTGGATGCTCTGCCGCCGGCCCGTGATGAGCGAGCGAGGATCCCACAGGAGACCCGGGGATCAAGGCCTCGGGGTGGCGCACATCACTGCTTCTGTGTGCAGGGTCAGCCGGCTGGGAGACGGAGTCATCAAGGGCGCCCGGGGGTAAAATGCAACGGTCTGTGGAACTCCTAACAATGTGTTTTCCGTATATCATAACAAATTTTCAGATGAGGAACATATTGCCCAGAGAGGTCAAGTTACTTGCTGGAGGTCACATAATTTGTACGGAGCTGAGAATTAAAGTGACATCTATTAGATCCCAAATCTAGCCTCCTTCCAAGTTTCCTACACTTGCAAGACCCGCAGGAGGCTGAGATCTCAGGCACGAAAGCTTTGCGGCTTGACTCGCAAAGTCCCCCAGATCATCGCTTTACACACAACACTCGCACACTTATTTTCCAGCATTAGGAAAGTCAGAAAACCACTTCTAGAGGCTGGCACACCAGTACTGTGAGAAGTGATGCTGGGCAGTATAACAAGGCAGGAAAACGATAAGAAGCAGACACGAGGACTCAAGCATTCTGGGGACAGCCGGTGCAGGGTCAAACCGTCCCCCACATGCCAGCTGCCCTGCAGGTGTCAGCAGAACCCTTGGGTTCAGTACATATTAAAGTAATGGTTGAATAGGCAGCATTTGGGAAAGAATTTCATTCAGCTTGCTTACAAGTTTTCTTAAGTTTCAACATTTATAAAGGACACGTGAATTATTGGACATATTTATTTCTGCATAATGGATTCTGTCATGGTAGAGTGGGCCAGGGGAGCTGTCACTGTGCTTGGAATAAAGGGAAAAGAAAACGACACTGGAGTAGGGGGTGGGGCTGGAGTGGGGTGCCCTGGCTTAGAGTGTGAATCCCAGCAGGTCAGGACCAGAGAAGCTTCAGGGACAAGGGTGGTTGCACAGCATCTGGGAAGAAGCAGAGACTGTGGGCGGCAACAGCCTTGGGTTCTAGGACCAGCCTTACCCTCACTGGCTCTGACACCTGGGAGACTTTCCATCTGGAGATTTGGTTTCCTTGTGTGAAGAACAGTGATGGTAACAGCTCCAGCTCAGCCTATGATTAAATGAGAAAATATGTGCAAATTGCCCAGGACAATTTAATAAACGTTTTGTGCCTACCTTTCTCTAGGCCTTGCTTTCCTCATCTGAAAAATGGGAATATCATTACCCATCCCACAAAGTGGTTGTTAGGATCACAAGGGATCATATGTGAGGACGTGTCTGGCTCATAACAACTCCTGTTCTCATTTATTATCATTATGTGGCTATTTTAAAAATGTGGGTGTGAGAGTCGAGACTAGTTCGCCCTTCACCTCACTGGCCTCAGTTTCTCTCTTTGTGCAGGGGTTGCCTGGGCCTCTCTCCTCCCTCCCCTCCAGTCTTGCTCCTGCTGCCGGAAGGCACACCCACCCCCACCCACCACCCACCACCCACCTCTGCCCTTCTCTGCCTGTCTGGCCTTGCCTGTGCTTGACCTTCTGCCATTAGAGCCGTGCTTCCCAGTGGAGGAAGGCTGCCCTCCAGAGGTTCCTACTAAGTACAATCACAGGCTAATTGGCATTTGTTCAACAGATGTTTAATAAATTCCTATGGAGTGCCAGGCTCTGAGCTTGGTGCTGTAAGAAAGTGACGAATAACACAGGCCAGGTCCTACCCTCCTGGAGAAATAAGCATTAAATAAGGACGCCCGCCAAGGCATCTAAGACTTGAAATGGTAGTAATGCTTAGAAGGCCAAGTCATAGCTGCCATGAGCACGAATAACAGGTGGGCCTGGTTACACTGGGCGAAGGTGGGGAAGGAAGGGCTTTTGAGGAGGTGAGCCTGGTGGCCCTCCCCCTGCTCCAGCCGTCCCCTCACATGGATGGAGTGTGGATCGTGCCAGGGGCTGACCTGGGAGAGGCGCTGGTCCATCCATCTCTTCAGGAGCTCTGGGTATGAGTGTGTTCGGGGTGGCGATGTTTGGCGCCAAGTGTGAATCAATTTCTTCAACACTTAGACCCTCAAAAGTGAGCCCTGGGACCCTCACTGGACGACTGGAACGGTTCCAGTCAACCCTTTCTTACACAGATAGACAAATGAACAAGCAACACAGCTGGAGAGGGTGATAAACACTCGGAAGACCGCATGGTGGGGTGACGTGACGGTGAAGGTGGAAGGGACAGAGCGAGAGGGTGGAGGTGGCTGCAGAACAGAGGGCTGGAGGAGGTAAGGGAACAGCAGAGAGCAGAGTTCCTGGTAGAAGAAACCACATACAGGAAGGCCCTGGGGCAGCAAGAGGCTGGCGTGCTCTAGAAGAGCAAGGACACCAGTGCAGCTGGGGGAAGGATCAGAGGGGAGGGCGGCTGGGATGGGTTTGAGGAAGCTGGCAGGGGCAGGTCGGGACTTTTGGGCCACACAAGGTTTGGACTTGGTCGTAAGGGCAATGGGAAGGCATTCAAGCGAAGGAGAGACATGATCCCAACTGCATTTTCACAAGCTCCCTCTGGCTGTTGGGAGGGGAGTGCACTGGAGCGCGGGAAGTGGGAGACTCGTCAGGGGCTGAGCAGTCGTCCAGAGGGGAGGAGGTGGTGGCGCGGGACAGGGTGGTGACAGCGGAGGAGAGGGATTCCGACGGCTTGGATGCACTGTGCCATGGAAACTGGACAGGGACTCCTGGGGCAGCGGGGCGGGAACAGCTGGTCGAGAGATGCAGCACTGGGCGAGGAATCCGTGGCCCTGGCCTCAGGGACCTCGGCCCCAGTCCCCACCCCACCACACTCTCTCTCTCTGTCTCTCTCTCTCCGCTGCGTGAGGACGCAGGGAGAAGGCGGCAAGCCAAGGAACGCCCTCTCACCAGAAACTGGAGACACTTCGGTCTGGGACCTCCAGCCTCCAGAACTGTGAGAGAATTAATTTCTGTTGTTTCGGCCGCCCAGTGCATGGTATTATGGCAGCCCGGGCTGACTGCTGTACCCTCAGAGTTACAAAGGGCCCTGGAGGGGCAAGAAAAGGGGGCAGGACCCCGCGGCGCCTGGAGCGCGCAGGCCCGAGCAGGGCTCAGCCTTGCGCACACGCCCCTGGGACACGATACAGCGATGTCGTGCTGCTGTGTAACGCAATCAGCATCTATGTGGAGGAGGGATGTTAATGTTCAAGCTCTTTGACTTCAACTTGAAACTTCAGTAATACGGGTACACGGCTTAAAAAGTCCAACTGTGCTCTGTGGCTTCCAGCCCCTGACTCCCACCACTAGAGGTAATACCCTCAACTCTTTTAGCTATTTCCTCTGCTTAACAAATAAATAAATATGCATTACTGCTATTTCTTCATTTATCCATGTTAAAATATTATTTATTCATGTCTTTTTCCTCCATCTAAGGAACACCTATAACACTGGAGGACCTACTCTCAGCCAGGCATTTTCCATATCAAGTCCGTTTCATTTCTCACACCTTGTGAAATCGTTGTCATTAAGCCCATGTTACAAATGAGAAAACTGAGGCACAGAGAGATGAAACAATTGATCCCAGAACAAGGCAGTGGCAGAGTCAAGGTCTGAACCCCAAGTCTGTTGGCCTCCACACACACACGTGTCATCCAGTTTCTCAGCCTTGGCTCTGTGGATAGTGGGGTAATTCTTTGTTGGTGAGGGAAACGGGGAGGCGCAGTCCTGTTCAATGCAGGATGCTGAGCAGCATCACTGGCCTCTACCTGCCAGATGCCAGCAGCGCCCCTCCCCGAGGCGTGACAACCAAAAATCACCAGACTTTGCCACATGACCCCCCCGGGAGGCAAAACCACCCACAGTTGAGAACCACTGATGTATCAGAGGCTTTGTTTCGGCTTCTGGTTGCTGCAGACTAGCGCTGCCTTAGGTGGGGAGCCAGGGCCCTGCCCAGCGTTGGCTTTCCAAGGGTCCCGCTCTGGCCGCTGCCCTCCCTACAGGGTGAGGGGTCTGTAGAGCCAAGGAGACAGGCCTACCTAGAGCACTCCACCTTTCTGAACCACGTCCCATCGTCCAGGGCCTATGTGGGCTTGTCTCCTGGCTGCCGGACTGTGACCTCCTGCCCCTGAGAGGTGGCCAAGGGTGTCACTGAGAGGGGAGGGAGATGGCGAGAGCCAGACAGGCGAACTAGGTGGTCTGGACACAAATGTGCATGCCAGCTGCAGGATGGCAGTCAGAGGTGGGAAGAGAAGTGTGGGGGCTACGGGCAGGGGCCTCCGTCTGTATCTTGACTCAGCCTGCCGACATCAGGGCCGGCCTGCCCCAGCCCCCGGCTGCCCATGTAGCTGGTGGGAACGTGGCTGTAGGTCACACATCTTTGATGCATCAGTTTGAAGAATGTATTCACTTACTTTTTGTGGACAAAAGAGGATTCAGTGCTTCTTTTTTTTTTTTTTTTAATTTTTATTTATTTATTTTTCCCCCAAACCCCCAGTCGATAGTTGTATGTCATAGCTGCACATCCTTCTAGTTGCTGTATGTGGGACGCGGCCTCAGCATGACGGGATAAGCGGTGCGTCGGTGCGCGCCCAGGATCCGAACCTGGGCCGCCAGTAGCGGAGCGTGCGCACTTAACCGCTAAGCCACGGGGCCGGCCCGGATTCAGTGCTTCTACCCCTCCGTCTTTGCTTCCCCTTCCTCTGTCCTCCCAATGAAGCTCCATAATAATTGTGGTTAAATCAGTAGTCCAGGTTTACATTATTATTACGTAAACTCATGTTCACTGATGGGCCAAGATGTGTACCTTCATTCTATTTTTTCCTGGAATCATGTTTTTGTTTTTTTGTTCTTCGTGTGCTGAATTTTCCTCTGCCGCTCATTCTTCCCCAGATCTCACAGACTGGGAACTCTCTCTGCACGTGGTCAGACGCTTGTGAGCGAATTTGCTCTCTCCTTCTCCAGGCAGCCTCCCAGCTGTCATCTGGACCATCCTTTAATTGTTACTTAGCAAATCCCTTTGCTTTTCCCTGCTGAAGGGTCCTCTCTTTTCTGGATCCCATCTATTCCTTTCTTGTTTTGTTCCTTTGTGGTGGTGGAACACATCCGCCAGTAGCTTTCTAAGAAAGGGTAGATGGGAAAGAAACTTGCAGTTCTGCAAACATCTTACTTTTCCCTCACGCTTCATTGATGGTTTGACTGGGGAAAGACGGCTAGGTGGAAGGTGACTTTCTCTGCAAATTCTGAAGGCATTGCTTTGTTGCCTTCTAGGGTCCACATTGCTCTCAAAGAATCTAATGTTACTCTGCTTCCCATTTCTTTGTATGTTGCTTGCATGTTGCCCCTTCTCTGGTAGCTTTCAGATTTTCTTTTCATCTGCTGTGTCTTGAAATCACAGTGGTGTACATTTAGGTGGGTCTTTTTTCACTAGGCTGGCCCTAGGTATACCCTTCCGATCTGAAGAATGCGAGATGGCATCTCTCCTCCAACTTCTTCTGTCTTAACTCCTACATCATATTTTTTAACATAGAGGCAAGAATTTGGCTTCTTTTTGTTCTTGTCAATGAAGAAATGATGGTTCTCATCACTAATAGTCAAGTGTTGAGCGCAGGGCCTGGCACATAGTAAGTGCTTAATTTTTAGAAGCTGTTATTATTGTGGTAAATCAGAAAATAGTGATGGTGGTGATTTTTTTTTTTTAAGTAGTCTTTTTGAGCAAGCTCATGAGAGCATTCATGTGTGGAGAGGTTGCGCCTCCTGGTGGTCATAACCAGGAACTGCAGTGCGGTATAGCAGTCCTAGCAGAACGGTTAGGAGCCAAGTTGGGCTCAGGGTCAAACAGACAATGGGTTTGAAGCCAGTGCTGCCATATCCAAGTAGGTAACATAGGTCATTCACCTCCCCTCTTACCTTCCATCTCCCCTCAACAATTACGACCCCATGGGATGGCTCTGACAATTTAATAAGACAAGATAATATCACAGGGCATGCAGTAAGCCCTTAATAAGTACTGGCTGTGATGCTACATGACCCTAGTACTCAGAACACCGCTGG